AATTTATTTTTGTGAATATGATCACAAGTAGAGTGTATATGAGCGGTGAATTTGTACAAATGAGGGTCGTTCAACTTTATTCCTCGAGCAAATTGTCCGGATATTTGAGTTCCACTATCTTTCATGTTGTCATACAGAACGAAACTACCTCTTAGTTTTGGATCATTGAACTTTATGTTTGCTGTCACTGGATTTTTTACAGTCCAAAGATACTCGGTGCATGCTGTGCAATTTATTTCTTCTGCTAGGGCAGAACAGAAGAAGATAGTACACACCATTATCAAAATCACAAAAAATACCGAGTGAATCATTGCTTATGAATATTTAAGCTTAATTTCAATTTCTTACTATTATTCAAGTAGCTATTGACCACAGGAAATCTCTAGTGATTGATTTTTTTGTTTTTATTCATTCACACATTTATTTATATCTATCCGAAACAATATAATCTACCATTATAATATACCCTAAATGACTACAAAATAGCAATTCTTAATTTATCTGATTCGCACTAATTCAAAAAATTTTTGACGATGATTTAATCCATTTAATCCATATTTCGTTATAAAATCATATCCTTAAATAGTAACTAATCTATGATGTTTCCAAAATAAATTCATACACACTCTCAGTTCCAACCTGGTTGGTGTTTTTTACCCGCTTATATTTTAAAATTTAGTGGATACTTGGAGGAAGGTAACCTTGAATAATGCAATTTTATCCATTAAAGTTTAGAATTAATTTTTACATATATGCATAAATTTTAAGATAAAACTCGGATGTCCAAAAATAAAGCACTTGATATTTGGATATTTATCAAATTTTATATAGTATTTAAAAATAGTAAAGCTCATTTACTGTTAACGATTTGGCTTTCATTATTAAGCGATCTGATCGCTCATGGATAATGAACGATTTGTTCTTGAGTATGGCTTATAAATAATGTAAAGTTCTGCTTCATTATGATTAAATAAAAAGGTATTGTACGTTAGTGAACCAAGTCGATCTCAAAAGATTAACTTGGCAGTCGACTTGAATCGATTATTAATTCCGGTTTTGAAGTCGATTTTCTTTGGAGTAATACGAATAGTAATTATGTATGGTTTAGTAAAATAGTGGTATATAATGCATTAAATTAGAAACACGTGTATGGTTGGTGAGGTCACAACTGCGTATAAAGTAATCTGTATATTGTGTATAGCATACAAACGTATATAAAATTTATGCAAATGTGATGTTAAAAAAAATTAGACTTCGGCCTTTAAACTTACAATACCGGGACCAATTCTGAATAATTCTAATAGACACTTGACAAAAATTAACCGAATGATTTTTTGGCCGATTCGGTTAATAGGTCGAGTCTGTGATGTCATAAATTAAAAGCCCAAAACTTAATATTGTCTTTAAATAACAAAAGCAATGATCGTAACAGTGTGTTTTTTTTTTGTTTTTTTTTTTAAAAAAAAAATCAGGTTTAAAAATATAGATTACCCATCAATAAAATGATGATGCCTTCGAATGAGATTAGTTCTGACTAGGGATGGGTTCGGTTACGAACGGTTACGATTATTCATAACCAATTTGCTAAATACTGAGATGATTTTTTTATTTTTGAGCTATTAATTAAAGTTGTTCAGAATTAAATTCTGTTCATACTATCTTATAAGTGGAAAGAACGATACCTTCTTTGGGACTCGAATAGTGATGCCATCAATACTCATGATAAAACTCGATAAAAGTATAAACTATCTACATGATAGGTAAATACTGTTTATATTTTTGAAGCTTCAACTAAACCGTGAAAACTGTGAAAATTATCAAAATATAAATTGATAAAACTTTATGTATACCGTTCAGAATAGAAGCTACTTCCCCACTTTAGCTCAAAAAATGTTTATTTTTTTGTAACTTTTATTCGGTAACATATGATACATACATCCATAAACTAAGAAATAAAAATTTATTGTGTATTATTTCTTTATTTATTAATACATATTAGCAGTTAACATTTATTAAATAGTTGTTTTTAAAATTAATTATAATACATATTAGCAGTTAGCATTTATTAAATAGTTTTTTTAAAGTTAATTATTATTATTTCCAATCCCTAAGACTTCATCAACAATATTTGATACTTCAAAGTCCATATTTCCATGATCTTTGCTTGATGTTTGTTTAGGTTGTGGTCTAAATTCTTCACCATACGATTCTGTGTTATTAAAATTAAAAAACAGTAAAGTAAGTTCTGCCAAATCTTCGATATTAAGCTTTGTTTCAGAGTCCATAAATGTATCAACGTTTATTAAAGTAAAAGCAGAAATAGGAGTATCTTGATCTATAATATAAGACTCATCACTATCGAATGTCATTTGTGCTATTAGCTTCCAAAGATAAATCAATCGGAATTGTCATCATATTAGCACAGGTTCGTAACTCTTCTTCAGTTAAATCTTTTTTATAATGTTCAAGCTCATTCCGAATTTCTGAAAGCCAATATATTCTTAGTTTAGCCATTGACTCAATACGTTTAATTGTTAGTCGATTTCTTCGATCTCCATAAAACCATTTTAAGATGAAGAAATTACGTTCACATGCTGTTTGAGATAGTACAATAGAAAATATTTTAATAGCCAAATCTTCCAAATTTGTGTGATAGTTTATATTATGCGATAATCACCATTTAAGCAATGATTCTTTTTGAGGATCAAATTTTACATTGTAGGGTTCTTCATTGCGAACAAACTTATGAAATTCAACCAATAAATTAATACATTCAGCTTCATCATGTCCAAGAGCTTTCTAATAATTACTAGCTATAAGACATGCTAGATGAAATATTTGATTTTTAAGACCATATCCTAATAATTAAAATACATTAATGAAAAATATAATTTTTATGTACATAATTAATAAATTTACTTATCACGATATGATGGATATAAATAATAGCTTAGAAGATATACCTCTTGATTAAATTCTTCATATCAAAGATTATAAATTTTTGTTATATATAATTTAAATGGATTTATTTCTGGAAGTTGATTAATTGCCGCAGCCAATTTTAATATATTAATATAGCAATTTGCTAATGTTGCAGTTCGGGCTTCAAGTCTGTTAATACATATTTTAATCGGCTGTATAACTTGATTAATAAAATGACAATTTGTAAAAAATTATCATTACTAATTGTATTTTTTACAAATTCATTTGTTAAACTATTTTCATAATTCGCTTGAATCTAAAAAAAATTAATAATTTAAAAAATATTACATTAATATTCGATATATATAAATTATTAAATTACCTAATTAAATACTGGTCTTAAATGTAGTAGCGAATCTGTCATATTCCACAAAGAACACTATCTTGTTTTTGTATAATTATATAATCCACCACCTTTAATTTTTATTGTATAAATTCTATCTTCAATTAATCGATTAGGTAAATGTGATTTATTAAAAAATCTTGTTATATGTCCACAAGTGTCTATAAACATTTTAACACAACTGATTTTAGTAAAATCTTCTGCAATCAAATTAATTAAATTAGCAATGCATCTTATATCTAAAATATATGAATAATTATAATTTGTAATTCTACATGCAACTTTGCAATTACTTTCAAAATTAGTCACGATTGCAAAAAATTTTTCAAAACCAGTTAATGTAATTATTGTATTTATTTCAGATGCTAAAAATTCTCTAGTATTTGAAGTATTAGAATAATCTTTTAATGCTACAAGATATTCTTTACGATCAACTATTGTAATAATATAGTTATATATGGACAAAGCTTGAGGAGAAAACCATCCATCTAAACCTAAAATAAAATAAATTAATAAAATATTTTTTATTTTTATAAAATAATAATTATTTTACTTACTTAAAGTTAAATTTTCACTTTTTTCAAAAATTATAGAAATTTTCTTATTTACTTTAACTATTTCTTTATCAAGAATTCGATCAGATAATGTTATACATCTAGGTGAATAATATGCAGGATTAAGTTGCATAAATAGGTCTTGCATAAACAGATTATCAATAACTTCAAATAGTATACTATATCCAACCCAAGCTTTTAATATAGCATGATCAAGTAAATTCTGATGATTTATAGAAAGTAATTCAGAATTATTTGTATTATCTGAATATGTTGATTTGTGATGTTTTGTTTTCGAAGTTCTTTGATAATTATTATGCTGATCATTAATTTTATCTTGCTAATATTTTTGTTTGTATGGTGGATAGCTAGAACAATCATTGGCCAAATGAGATTTCATAATATGTGGTACTCCTCTTTTCTAATTCTTTGAACAATATTTGCAATGAACAAGATAATATTTTTCATATTTTTCATTAATATTATAATCATTCCATATTTTGTCTCGAGGCCTACTACCAGAATTAGATATTTTATTAATTGAAGAATTGCTAATTGCAATTGTATTATTATCAATATTATTTGCTATATTGGTAAGTAAAGAATTGTTTAATTATTTGTTTTGGCACGATTTTTATTCAATTCAATCTAGTTACGTAATTCGATTTGATACGTAATAGCAATAGTTTAATTATTTGTTTTGATACTATATAGTTTTATTGGATTCGATATAGTTATACAATTTAATTTATACGTAATAACAATATTTTATTTTAATTAATATTTGAACCAATATTAATATAATTATATACTGGTTTTATCTTTTTTATTTTATTAGTTTTAACTATGATATATGTTAAAATTGGATTTATCATATGATAAAACCCAAATATAGTAATGATAAAATATTATGATAGCATCACTAGACTTGAAATTTTAAAATTTATTATCTTCATAAACAGTTATTAGCCAGCGGTTAATAACTGGTTATGGCATTAACAAATTTTAAAATTCTGAGTCTTGAAGAAAGTATTATTCTTTCTACTTATAAGGTGGGGTGAACAGAATATATGAATAATTGTAACCATTTGTAACTGAACCCATCTCTAGTTCTGATAAAGATCTATGCCATCAGTTAATAGCTTTTTCAAAAAAATTTTTTCGAAAAAATGATTCTTTTAATAATAGCTTTATTACTAATAAAGAAAACAATTTTGTCTTGATAAAAATAATTCTTTAAATTAAAGTTTTAATACTGATAATACATTTGAAGATAGATTTTTTTTCTCAAAAAATTTATATGTAATAAATGAAGCATAACATTCTATGATATCACTATAGATAGTAGACAAAGCCTATTTTCAAATATGGCAAATGACAAAATCTAAACTCAAAAAAG